CCCAGTTGCCTTTCTGCTGACCCCGACAATTAGGGCCAACATCATCATGTGAAGTATGAGCCATACCCAACAAAATTGGGCGTCTCTCATGAGGTGGTGACATGTGTCACTTGTTTTTCCAAAAAAAAATAATAATTTAATCATAAAACTTCTAAAGGCCATAACTTTTGACTCGAGTATCCAAATCAGGTAATTCTTTTTTTGATTCCACATAACTTTTCGAGATCTACGCAATGACATCTTATTTGATATATTTAATTTCTCACCAACATAATTTAAATTTAAATCAGGTAATCCTTCTTCCTTAGATATTTAGAATATTTATTTAATTATTTTCTTTATTAATACAGATTGTTACTTATTAATAATAATTGTTACTTTTAATTTAAATCACAAACCAAATTTTTTTATAATAAAAAAAAAATTATTATTTTTAATTTAAATCACACATCAAATCTTGATTTATTTTTTGTATTAAATCACCAACGCAGAACTCAGAGGCTTCTGAGTTTAAAAATGTGACACGTGTCAACACTTGTCAAAACCTAACACATCACCGATCACGTCTAAATTAAGTTTCAATCAAGAGGAAATCACGCCTAATTTAGGCAATTTTATTTTTGAAAACCATTCATAAGCCATCATTAATTTCAGACCACGAATAATAACCGAGAAGCTTATAGAATTAATCATTAATTTTAAAAATAATATCCTTCTTCCTTAGAAATTTAGAATATTTATTTAATTATTTTCTTTACTTTTTCCAGATTTTCAAATTAATTTTTTAGTTTAAATCACAAATCAAATCTTTATTTTGTTTTCCTTATTAATAACAATTTTTTTATTTTGAATATAATCACAGACCAAAATTTTGTTATAATAAAGAAAATTATTATAAAAAAAATTTAAATCACAAATCAAAATTTGTATTTATTTTTGTATATTAAATCACAAATCCAGAACTCAGAGGCTTCTGGGTTTAACCGCTCTTATAATACTATTTTTGCAAATTAAAATTGTGTTTGTGAGAAATAAAATATGTCAAATGAGATGTCATTCTGTAGATCTCGAAAAGTTATGTGAGTTCAAAAAAAGAAGGAATAGGATATTGTGACACCCAAGTTATGTTACACCCATGTGACACCCAGTCAATCTCATCGTTAGATCGCTTATGTTGATCCAACGATTATATTTATTTCCATCTTTGTATGGTCATGATTTCCCAAATTTAATATTTTATATTTATTTCTACCTTTGTATGGTCACGATTTCCCATATTTAATGCTTTCACTTTCAATTTGGGAAATCATGACCATACAAAGATGGAAATAAATATAACCGTTGGATCAACATAAGCGATCTAACGGTGAGATTGACTGGGTGTCACATGGGTGTAACATAACTTGGGTGTAACAATATCCTATCCCAAAAAAGACTTACCTGATTTGGATACTCGAGTCAAAAGTTATGGCCTTTAAAGTTTTATGATTAAATTAATTTTTTTTTGGAAAAACAAGTGACACATGTCACCACCTCATGAGAGACGCCCCATTTGGGCGTCTTCCCCTCCATGAATTTTAGATCGGATGACGCATTCCAGCATAAAAAGCAATTAAATCAGCTGATTTCTTTTTGGATACCAATGTGATGGGCAGTGGGACATTCAATGTCTTGTCTGCCACCACAAATGGTCATTTAATTATTCGATTTAAAAAATTAAAATTCGATTTTTAAAAGAATTTCTTTTCCTACCATCCATATTTAAATTCAAAATTTTAAACCATTTCAAATTTTGAATTTCAGATCAGACGACCAATTCCAACATAAAAAGCAATTAAAACACTTGATTATCCAATTAAAATTTTGAATTTCAAAATCATATTTATTAATTAATTATTCTTTTATATCTGCCACCACAAATGGTCATTTAATTATTCAATTTAAAAATTAAAATTTGATTTTTAATAGAAATTCTTTTCCCACCATCCATATTTAAATCAAAATTTTAAACCATTTCAAATTTCAAATTTCAGATCAGACGACCAATTTCAACATAAAAAGCAATTAAAACACCTGATTATCTAATTTATTTTGTCTGTCAGCTCTCTTGATTCTTGATTGTTATGATATTTGAATCAAATATATAACAAAGATAATGTCTTTGTTATATCATTATTGTGTATATATTATTTAAAAAATAACCATAACGAAATTGTGAATTGAATGACCATCAGGTCTTCAACAATTGTGAAATTTGTTTTTGTTTCTATTGATCTCCATGAATAGAGATCGTGAATGCATGTCCGTGAAAAGAGTTTTCTTTTTATTGAATTTAAAATTTCGAATTTCAGATTGTGCAAAATAAATACATAATTGCGAAATTTAATTGATAAACCATTTAAAATTTCGAATTTCAGATGAGATGACCAATTCCAACATAAAAAGAAATTAAAACAGCTGTTTTCTTTTTGGATGGGCAGTGGGACATTAAATGCCTTGACTGCCACCACAAATGGTCATTAAATTATTCGATTTAAAGATTAAAATTCGATTTTTAAAATATATTCTTTTCCCACCATCCATATTTAAATTAAAAAATTAAATCATTTCAGATTTTGAATTTCAGATCAGACAACCAATTCCAAAATAAAAAGCAATTAAAACACCTGATTATCCAATTAAAATTTCAAATTTCAAAACCATATTTATTAATTAATTATTCTTTTATGTCTGCCACCACAAATGGTCATTTAATTATTCGATTTAAAAATTAAAATTTGATTTTTAAAAGAAATTCTTTTCCCACCATCCATATTTAAATTCAAAATTTTAAACCATTTCAAATTTCGAATTTTAGATCAGATGACCAATTCCAACATAAAAAGCAATTAAAACAGCTGATTTCTTTTTGGATACCAATGTGATGAGCAGTGGGACATTCAATGCCTTGTCTGCCACCACAAATGGTAATTAAATTATTCGATTTAAAAAATTAAAATTCGATTTTTAAAAGAAATTTTTTTCCCACCATCCATATTTAAATTCAAATTTTTTAACTATTTCAAATTTCGAATTTTAGATCAGATGACGCATTCCAACATAAAAAGCAATTAAATCAGCTGATTTCTTTTTGGATACCAATGTGATGGGCAGTGAGACATTCAATGTCTTGTCTGCCACCACAAATGGTCATTTAATTATTCGATTTAAAGATTAAAATTCGATTTTTAAAAGAATTTCTTTTCCCACCATCCATATTTAAATTCAAAATTTTAAACCATTTCAAATTTTGAATTTCAGATCAGACGACCAATTCCAACATAAAAAGCAATTAAAACACTTGATTATCCAATTAAAATTTCGAATTTCAAAATCATATTTATTAATTAATTATTCTTTTATATCTGCCACCACAAACGGTCATTTAATTATTCAATTTAAAAATTAAAATTCGATTTTTAAAAGAAATTCTTTTCCCACCATCCATATTTAAATTCAAAATTTTAAACCATTTCAAATTTCAAATTTCAGATCAGACGACCAATTCCAACATAAAAAGCAATTAAAACACCTGATTATCTAATTTATTTTGTCTGTCAGCTCTCTTGATTCTTGATTGTTATGATATTTGAATCAAATATATAACAAAGATAATGTCTTTGTTATATCATTATTGTGTATATATCATTTAAAAAATAACCATAACGAAATTGTGAATTGAATGACAATCAGGTCTTCAACAATTGTGAAATTTGTTTTTGTTTCTATTGATCTCCATGAATAGAGATCGTGAATGCATGTCCGTGAAAAGAGTTTTCTTTTTATTGAATTTAAAATTTCGAATTTCAGATTGTGCAAAATAAATACATAATTTCGAAATTTAATTGATAAACCATTTAAAATATCGAATTTCAGTTGAGATGACCAATTCCAACATAAAAAGCAATTAAAACAGTTGTTTTCTTTTTGGATACCAATGTGATGGGCAGTGGGACATTAAATGCCTTGACTGCCACCACAAATGGTCATTAAATTATTCGATTTAAAGATTAAAATTCGATTTTTAAAAGATATTCTTTTCCCACCATCCATATTTAAATTAAAAATTTTAAACCATTTCAAATTTCGAATTTCAGATCAGACAACCAATTCCAACATAAAAAGCAATTAAAACACCTGATTATCCAATTAAAATTTCGAATTTCAAAACTATATTTATTAATTAATTATTCTTTTATGTCTGCCACCACAAATGGTCATTTAATTATTCGAATTCTGAATTGATTTCAAATTTTGGATTTCAATTTCAAATTTCAAATTGGAATGATGGGAAAGGATTTGGAAATAAAAAATTAAATAAATAATAATTTCTTTCATAAATCGAAATAAAAAATCAATGAAAAATTAAGTTAATCATTTATTGTGGCAGACAACTCATTTAAAAAAATATTGTTAAATAACAAAATTATTTATATTGTAAAATAAATTCAAAATTTGGAAATAAATTAAATGAAAAATTATGTTAACAATTTGGAAATAACTCAATTTTAAATTTTAAATTCGATGAGCAGTTTTATTTCTATTACCGAATCCCCTCCAATCCCTAGATACGAAAAGATAATAAATTTGGAAACTTTCTTGCCGCCGAATATTAATCCAATCAAACCCAAGATAGGGAAAAATAATAAATTTGCAAACGTCAAGATACCAAAATATAATAAATTATGCATTGATTCCGGATTCCACCCTTAATCATTGCTACGACCGCGTGATTTTTTTCTTTATAAGAAGCATCGGAGGAGACTCCTATTGTCGTCACATTGGTCAATTCATTCTCATTCTCTGGTGATTGCTGGGTTATAACAATTCATTCTCATTCTCATTCTCTATTGTCGTCAACATTGGTCAATTCATTCTTTGGTCAATTCATTCTCTGGTCAATTCATTCTCTGGTTTTCAATTTTTTTTCAATTCATTCTCTGGTTTGTGGTTATTTTGCAATGACCATGAAGTCTGAGTCACTGGATCATTGGAGGAATTACTTTAGCACTGCCAAGTCGTCTGATATATTCGATATCATTGATCATGCCATCATGGTGGCAGCTTCGGATTTCCCCAAGGAGTTCAAGCTGAGGAGAGATGGGATTGCTGAGAGATTGTTCTCTTGCATGTTGACGACTAAATGTTTGGGGTGTGAAAGGGTGGATCATGAAGACGTTGATGATGGGCTTGCCCTTGAAGCAGGGGCAAGTGAAGACGGCAAGGTCAACAGCATTAGAGATGGCCGTGGAGAGGTTTTGAGGATCCAAAAAGTTCTGCTTAACTTTAAAGAAGAGGTATATCCTCTCTCTTCCTTTCTCTTTTCATTGTTTTTTTTTTCTTCCCTTCTTTATGTTCTGTATCAGTTCTTGCTTCTTTGTATTGCAATTTACTTGGATGGTTGATGAGATTTTTGAACGGATAGGTTTCTGAATTTATGAATATGGTTTTTATTGGATGGCATTTTAGTACTTCTTTGAAGGTTGAATTCTTTTATGTCCTCTGGTCCCTGATTCATGTTGCTTTGTTTTGTGTCACAACAGTCTGACTCTGTGTTATTTGAGTCATTGAGGAGGCTCCAGCTGATGGAACTCAAAGTGAATCTTCTAGAGGTTTGAATTGAACCATTCTTTATTACTCGTTCAATGAGCCTACAATTTTTTCCTTGCTTTTTCCAGTGCCCTTTTTTTTGAGTCCTCTAATTCTCAAAATTTAACTTTGCCAGGAAACTAAGATTGGAAAGGCTGTCATTCCTCTCCGAAAGCATGGATCAAAGGATATTAGTCAACTCGCACGAACTCTTATTGAGTATGAATAAGTTTTTCCTGGATATTTGTTTTTCATTCATGTATCATTGGCTTGTTTTACAAAGAAAAATGAACCTGTTTATCTTCTGCTACATGGATCAAAGAAATAGCTTGTAACCAGTTTCTTTGGTTCCAATTAGTGGTTTGCTATTCTGGTATTGTGTGTGTAAATGAAGATTAATACAATTCACTCACTGTTGTTGCACTGACCCATCTGTAATTCTCTGTCATCAACCATCAATTATTAGATTTAGTTAGTCTGAACCTGTTTCTTAGTTAATCACACTTATGGTAGCATGTCTCTTCTGCTTAAAAGTCAGCTATTATTTATTAGTGTACAAGTTGAGATGTGGCATCTGTTTAATTTGTTCACTTGCATTCTAAACATTTTCATAATTTATTGACTTTGTAGTTGCTGGAAAGAAATGGTAGATGAGTGGTGCAAGGCTTCCACTACCACAGCTATTGCAGGTAGAAAAAAAAATTTCTGCTTTCATGTGAATAACCTGCTGCTTTTTTATCCGTTTTAAAATTAATAAATGTTTAAAAGCGGTTTTATTAAATATTTGTAGCTTCAGAAGGCACTCCAGATTCTGTAAATCCATCTGTTCTTGATGAAGGACTAGCTTTTGCTTTACAGTTCTAGATTTGAATTCCTCTCATCTTAGAATATGATTATGAATGGGGAATGTTTTTTCAGATCCTCAACAGAGTGGACAATTCAAATCTGAGGCTTCCATTGAGCCATCCATCACTGCCAAGGACAGTAAGAGTCAGCAACCAAGGAAAAATGAGGTTGCTGTGAGGCTAAATAAACCAGAAACTGTTGATAATTTCCCTGTCAGACCCCCAAAATCAACTATGCAGCGAAAAAGCAATATGGAGCCAAAGATGCAGCCAAAAATAGAGAACAATACAATCCCAAAGAAGCCTCCCATGATTCAGAAAGATGTAAGAATAAAAAATCTCTCTGTGCATCTAATTTTTAGGTTTGAGTTCTCTCTGACCTTGAAATGTTGTTTATCAGAAATCCAAGCTTTCAGATGAAGAAGCTGCAGTCCAAGTAAAGCTAGAGGCCACTAAGAGGAAAATTCAGGAGCGTTATCAACGAGTTGAAAATGGTTTGTCATTCCTTTACCAAAATCAAAGTCCTAAACTCCTATCTGATTTTAAGTTGTTAGAGTGTCCAGTAGTTTCTACATTCCTAGAGAATCTTCTACACTAAAGTTAATTGCCTAGAATGTTGGATTTATCTTGTCAACTTTCAGATGATTTTTTCTTTATTTGGGGGCACATTACTAAGTTCATAATTAATTGATGAAAGTTTCATTGTTGCTTGCAGCTAAGAGGCAGAGGACAATACAAGTTCTGGAAATAAATGATCTCCCCAAGCAAGGGAGTGGCCAACGAAATTCACATTTCAAACCTGGGAATCACAATAGGCAGTGGGCCAATGCACGAAGATAGAGGATTTCCAAGCTTTAGCCATTCTGTGAATTGAAGATTGATCCATTCACCATTCTTACTTGGATAGAGCTTTTTTGATCGAGAGTATATAGGAATTTTGAAACACTGTTTTATGATTTCAATACATAAACTCATGCAACGAGCCTCTTTTAAGGTTTTAGCTATTGCAATGGGTATTAAGTTCCTGATTTATGTATAGGCAACCATCTAAATTTTCTGTTTCTGTTTTGCTCCTAGGCTTTTGGTGAGTTCGGTTTTGTGGCTTGAAGTTATAATCCATATTTAGAAGACAGATTGGGAGTACAATTCATTCAGACGTGGGGGAATTGTAATTTCAATCTGCATATCCATCTGTAAGTGCTCAGTACTAGCAGTGATGCATATATTTCTTTTATGCAATCACATGGACTCATTGCTATTTATTCTGTCTTTTCAATTGTTAGTTCGATCTACTGCAAAAAGCCTCCGATTTTAACATGCTACATTCTGTAATTTTTTTCCTAGTCATTTTGTCATGCTGCAAAGGTTACAAAGTCTCGCTATGGAGAAGAACATTGGAGGGAATGAAGTCATGGGCCTTTAATGCTGCATCAGGTTGTCATGTTTGCC